ATTTTTAACTTCCTCAACCTCTCCTACAACTATTTAATTGCAAAAGAAACCCCCCAAAACCTCATTTCTTCACATACCGGGCATGTTTGTAAACACTATTTCCTCATAAAGTCAATATTTTATTTTTATTTTTCAGCCGTTTTCTCAAAACGCGACTTTTCTCTATACTTTTTTAAATAACTCCACCATTTTTCATCCAATCTTCATGAAATTTTCACAGAATGAAGAAAAGATGTAATACTAACAATTGGTCTTTTGAATTTTTGATATATGAAATAGATTTTTGTTGGTGGTGTCTTGAGTGTGGATTTTCACTGATTTTTTGCACACTTGAACACTACTTCAGGAAAAAATTCATTAAAACTTTTCTAATTCGTTTAGGAAAAAAACAACAGACAAATTTTTAGACCTAATGTTTATGAAGACGCTTGCATATGCAAAAAAAAAGTCAATTTCCATGAGCAGTAAGTGCGGTATTAATTACGTAAGACATGTCAACAATATTCAATATGGCCTCCGTATCCATGGAAACAAAATGTTTTTCTCAAATTTGATTGCATATTTTAAGACCCCTTACTACGCTTGTTATATGTGTGAAATGTAAAATTTCTGCCCACTAATAAGCGAGATAGCCTTCAGGTGTAGCCCCGCCCCCCCCAACATAAAAATGTTTAAAACAAGGTCAAGAGCAGATAGAACTTTGTAGTTCTAAGGTAGTGATATAACATGGCCGTTTTATCTACTTAGAAAGTAGAACCACCCCTTGCCCTTGCCTGACAGGCAACCACATGCCATTTCAGAAGGTACTCAACTGTAAAACACCCCTCCCCCTGGTGGTACTGACAACAGTGCTATTTCACGGTAACTGACAGGACATACTATACTTTCTTTCAAGGATAACACTGTAAATCAATATCAATTAATTTATTTCAACTGACGGGACGAATGAGGTATTTTATCTGTCCCGTCAGTTACCGAAACTAATCATGTCACAGAATTTGCATAAAGTACTTTTTTTTTCAAATGACTGCATTGAATATGATTCTTAATATGTTTTTCAAGTATTCTGATCGCTTCAAGTTGAAATAATTTAATTGAAAAGTATAGTCCAAATGTCCAGTCGGTCACCGTGGAATAGCCCGACATAAAATGAAGGGTAGAAAATGACGATGACAAAGTTAAAAGTTAAATGGATAACAACATCTGTGGGGTACTGATATACTGAACATGCTACCCCATGAATTGAAAATACTTTGGCTAGCCTGTTTATTCCAGTTTTTCAGTTTCAGTCGCAAGGGCGAAGGCTGACTTGTTTGACAGGGTAATCAAAGTGAAACGGGATCAGATATGGCCTGTAGATATGACACAAGAATCTTACTCGAGGCGGCGACTCTGAGTTGTGAATGAAAACAAATCCGGAATTCAAATTGTATGTTCAACCGCCAAAATAATCGGGAAAGTATCTTATTAAATATCAGTTCCAACTAAAATTAAATTTAACTTTAGATGTGAATACATAAACACAAAGCAAAGAAGCAGAGACGTCAGTACTAGATCTATATGTTATAGATCTACCAGTGAGTCTAACTCTTTGGTAGAACATGACAATTATCATTTTTTAAATTTCACATTTGGCTGTTTTTGTTAGCCTTTCGCGGCCAGGAGCTGGTGTCAAAATCGAGGTCACGATCTGATTATAGGACGGTAAAAAGTCGAGGAAAAAAAGCAAGCACTTGCAACAGTGAAGAGATTGTTAGGAGTTAGTTCCCCTCACATTTGTGAGGTAGACTCGACCAGCGTTAGTTAGCTTACCTAATTAGGGCTTGAGATTGATTTTAACTGTGGCCCC